TTTTTTGTTTGTTTTTTGTTTTTTGTTTTTGTTTTTGTTTTTGTTTTTGTTTTAATCTTTTTGCTTTTTCTTTGTTTGTTTTTGGTTTAAATGTTTGTTATCTCGATTTTAGAAGTGAGAAGCTAGTTGTCTTGGTAACCGGCRGAGGAAGCGCTTGTCCTTGACTTTCCATACATACTACTGGCCTCTCTAACCATTGCACCTGTAACCATAACAACAAAAGAGTACACAAATTTGTAATCTGAATTCCTTTTAAATTATACACCTCTTGAATATAAATTTCTTTTTGTTTTTCTTCAGAATTTTTCATTTAGCCCCGCTATGCACACCGATATTCCATTTGCACCTTGCACCACTGAACCTGTAACCATAACAAGGAAGTAAAAGTTTTTACAGTTTTAATTCTTCAATTCCAAAACTTATTATAATAGTTTTCTACTATATTTTCAGGTTAATCTGGCACTTTACAAACGAATTTAATTTCCATAGCCATAGTACTGAAAAGTTATCTGCATGGCTGCCCAATGATACCAAGTGTTTTTCTTCACTTCAGAGCTCAGATTGTTTTTCTATATTATAATTTTATCGTTGAATTCAGTATGTCTTTGAACATCAGCAAACCACTAATCTTTCTTTCTCTTCTTTTTTTTGATTTTGTTTACAGGTCGGCATTACACCAACTTGCTCTTAAACCATAGATTTAGATGTTTCTGAAACGTCTGGCTTGGATTCGGTAAATAATGCGGATTTCTCAGTTAACAATTTAATAAAGTTTTATGTTAGCAATTTTTCTCCATCTTTATTAARCCCTAACGTGGATGTGTCTTTCTGTCTTTCAGACTCAATGTATAGAGTGTCCTCTTCATTTCCACCATCCTTTGGACCTTCACTATATATTAATGGAATTATAAATAATAGCATGACTTAAACCGTTACATTGTAAAACTATGCTTTAGCTTAAACTAAGCTAAAGTCGGGACTAGATTGAGCTTAACCTTTAAACCATCATAGAATACACTCATGGTTAACTCTAGAGGAAACGGAAAACTCGGAACTAAAACATAAAACTTAAAAAACAAACAAAAAAACTTAACTCCAAACACTAAACGTAAATCTGACTCAAAAGCTTGACTCTAAACAAAACAAAACTCTCAACTAAAATATCACTAATCAAAAACCAAACTTAACTCTAAAC